CGTTAGAAAGAGCTTAATTAAGCGAGTCTTAATATATAATAATAATTGTTGTAAGTTGTATGTGTACTGAGATATGAGCACAAACAATTGGTCAATTTTGATAAATTGACCAACACCATTTTCTCATATTTTGTGTTTACCTTTGAACTTTGAGATTATCTTTTCTTTCCCATTTATTGATCTTATTAACCCAATTGTACTCTTAAAATTTGGTCAACACATGACGGTCAGTAAGCTCCTTTCAGTCGCTTCAACTGACCAATGACTTTTCGTCTCATCTCTTGATTGCCCCAATCTCTCTCTCTTAATCACTTTCTTCTTACTTTCTCTCTCTCACTCTTTACTCTCTCTTACTATCTACTTACCTTAGTAAGTTAATCATCCATTAACTTTACCAACGGACAATTAATTCAAATGGACCAATCCGGTCAAACTGACCAAACCTTAAACCTTTTCTTTGTTTGTATTTAAACGAAAACCTTGACAATAATCATTACACTTTGGTCACACTCTTTGTACCAGTAACTTGATGAAGTTTTTACTTATTAATAAAAGTGTCGTTTATATTTAAATTGTGTATCCTCATTGTGTTAATGAGAAGAAGTAAATTTCTACTTTTGTGATAACTCAGTTGATTAAGGAAAATCAATTTAAACCAACACAATTCAAGGTGTATATTAAATTAACAGCAACAATTTACAACTCGTTTGATGATAATGATGATGATGATGATGGTGATGATTATCATTTAACAATCAACACACTCAGTTAACAATCAATAGACAACAACAAAACTTACCACATGATTTGACAATTAGTTCAGTTGATTGTTGTTGTTGTTAAACAACAATTGTAATTGTCAAAAGTGATACAAACTGATTACGGATGGTTAAAGGCTCAAAGGCTAAAATATTGAATTTATTTTAATCACAAACAATTTAGAAACCAAATCAAGTTCAGTTGCTATTTTAAAAACAAATAATCAACTTAAATCATCATCATTATGCTCAGTAGGTCAGAAGGGCATTGATTTCAAATGATTAACTTGGTCAAACTAAATCAAGAGACTAATACAAATTGATTAAGACAATCAATTAAATTCAGTTCAATTGATATTCAATAGTGTTAATTGTTTCATTGTAAAATCCAAAGGTAAGTGTAGTTAATTGTCATTGAAGCAAAAACCAAAAGTTAATATTAATCTGATTGACTTAACAGTTATTAAAATTGTCCCAAACAATTAACTTTATCGGTAATCAAATTAATTTATTGAAATAATCAAGATTAATCTTTATGATTGAAAACAATTAAAATTAAACTGAAAGATTTCTGGTTAATCTGGTTTTTTTATTGTTTCTTACCAAAACCGTAATCAAGATCAACAATTAGCTAATTGTTGATAAAAATACTAATCGACCAATCAATTTAAATTGAATAATAATTATCTTGATTGGCTGTTAATTGAAAAAAAAAACCATCTAATTGTAAACTTTGCCTCAGCGACATTGATTATAACCTAAAGTAACATTTCAATTGATGAAATAATTAATTTGTTACTCTGACAAACAATACAATCACAAATAGTAATCAAATAGTTAATCATGGTAAATCAAACATGTAATAAGAGTAACAATTAAAAGTGATGCAATTTGATTATATAATGACAGTGAAAATTAAAGGTAGATGGTGATGATAAACTAAATTAAGGATTCCCCATTTAATCAAATAAAAAACAACAATCAACATTATGATGATTCTGATATAAAAAGAAAGAGAGAAATTGAGAGAGAAAAAGAGAGAGAGAGAGAAAGTAGAATGAAGATTGAGAGAGAGAAAGAGACTAGACATGGGAAGAAAGAGAAAGGTGAGAGAGATAGAGAGAGATGATAATGATGATGATGAAGAAAAATAAGACTCACTGATTCATGGAAACTGGTAATTCGGGTTTCCGTCAACCATAACCAAGAATCATCATGAAAAAAAAACAACAACAAATATCATCAGATGGAAGGGGTGGAAATTTGTCGAAAGAGAAGTAGAAAGAGGAAGGAAGAAGAGGGAGGATGAGGAGGAGGAAGATGAGAGAGAGCGGGTGAGTGAGATGAAAAACGTGTTAATAATGTTTGTATGCCAGTGGATCGTCTCGAGTGAGCGGTGTAACAATTTTTTCCGCTGAAAAAAAAATCTCATCAACTTCAAGGTGAACCTTTTGCTCTCTCTCTCTCTCTCTCTCTCTCTCTCTCTCTCTCTCTCTCTCTCTCTCTCTCTCTCTCTCTCTCTCTCATCTCATGCTCATGGTGAATCTTCATGAAAATTTCTTTCTATTAGAACTTTTCTCTCTTTCTGTCACTTTTGCGCTTTTCTATTCGATGAGATTGTTCAGTTTTTTTTTCTTAAAATTCACTTAACTTGTTTTTTGGTCCCTTTGCTTGATTATCATCAATTGAGAATCAATTTTGATTATTGTAATCATGATGATGATGTTGTTGTTGATGATTTTTTGTTCAACAATAATTCAAGGTTAACGAGATGATTTAAGTCTCAGTACATTTAATCATCTTAATCATTTTCGGTTGAATCCAATGATCAATTTCAATGATAACCTTTTTTTTTTAATACAAATTTCAACAATTTAAACTCATTGTTACTTATCAATGTTAATTGTTTACGATTAACATTAATCATTTCTTGACATTGGTTCCTAATTGTGTTGTTAGCATTTGATTGTTTGGCTATAATATTAAATGAAATTTGATTAATTTTCTATATGTAACAATTAGTTTTAATTGTTTTCTCCCCCTTGATGACCTTAATTGTGGAAAAGAAAAGTTTAATTGAAAATTTTGATTCTCCCATTGATTTGTTTCTGTTTCCTTTTTCATTGTTAACTGTTAATTGTTTAAATTACCAATAAGTTTGATGATTAACGTTTTTGGTAAACAATTGAAATTATATTTAATCACAAAAATTAATCTCCAATTTATTAATTGTTGTTATCATTATGATTAGTTTATCAAACACTTGAGAGAAGGTAAAAATCTTGAGACGATAATTAAGATTAAGAACCTTAATAAGTAACTAAGTTAATTGTTGTCTTCAGATTAAATCTTAATTAAATTGTATTGAGTAATGAAAATGATAATACACTTGATCCCAACACTCACACAATTAAACTTTAATCACTAATTGTAATCAGTTAACTTTGTTTTTATCAAACGTATTAACAGTTATCATGTTTGATTGGAAATCAATAACTTATTGATTATCACTAATCAACAACAATATTATAATCATCACAATCAACTAAATGGTCTGACAATTATCATGGTGATTTAAATTTTTTGGTTAATTGTTGTGTGTGATGGTAAATAACAATTAACACCACAATCAATGACAATGATAATCAACCTTGATTTTTTTTCGGGTCTTTAAATGTTAATGATCGAGGAAGTTACAATTTAGTTAACAATTAACAAATTGACAAAAACATAATCATCTGATGGTTAAGCTAATTTGAGTAGGTTAAAGTTAATCAAGAAACACAATTTAATTGTAAGTAGGAAGAGTTAAATTTCAATAGCAATTATCTGCTATTTGATCAACTTAAATGATTAAAGATTCAAATTTAGTTTCACCAACAATTAAAACAATTGATCAGGTTAGTTAACAATCAATTTTCAGAATGAATCAGTCAACTGATTGTCTTTAATTGAACCGTTTAGATTTTAATTCATCCGATTCTTGGATTGATTAAGTTAATCCCTTTCTTAGTGTTAATTGTGATTATCATTAAGAGCTTGTTAATTGTTATCACAAGGTAATTTAGCTGTGGCTATACCCAAATGATTAGTTGATTAGTATCAACAATTTAGGCCTTACCTTGTAAATTTTAATCATCTTAATCACAGTTAACATTGAATTGAGGTACACACACACATTCACATAGCTTATTGTAACAATTAACTAACCAACCACCACCTAACTTAACAATTTAACCCATTCAACCAACACACTTGAAAATTCAAACAATCAACTAACTAACTTACATGATAATTTAAACTTATTAACCTTGAAAAAGTTAATTGTTAACATTGGAAAAGTGGAAAATAATTTTTTCTCAATCCTAATTATCTTTTCTACGGAGATTAATTAAGTTAATCACAATCAAATCAACGTTTAATTGTCATAATCAAACTTGCTACACATTGAAGGTTATATGTTAACAACCTTATTAATACAAAATCACCACAATTTAGTTAATCACAATCAGGAAGTTAATCAGTCCATATTATATTTATTAATTATTCAACTGTAATTAAGCTTATCAATCCGTTGGTTGTAACAATTTAAGATTTTAAATTTAACAAGAAAAAAAAAGTTACAATAATTAACTTGACAATTTAGTTGATTGATATCTACTCAAGTGTAATCATAACTAATTAGTTATGATTATGATGGTAATTAATTTATATAAATTTGATTTCGTCACAATTGTCATAATCAATATTAGATTAGTTATTAAGTATTATCTTTATAATTTGATTAATTGTTAAGATTAATGATAAACATAATTGTGAAAACTTTTAATTACCATCAAATATTTGGATTAGCAAAAACAATTAAATTTACACTTGACAAAACAATTAAACTTAATCCAGTTACTAAAATCACACTGATTAACAAGCTATATACTAATAATTAAATAGTGATTAGTTGACATTTATTTAGATTAACAATTAAATACGTTTTAATCAATTAAAACTAATCACAATAGGAAATTAATTTAATAGCTGAAACAATAACATGATCAAGTTAATTTAAGATTATAAAGTTTAATTGTTGTAATAAGAAACAACAAAAAATCAATTCAAACTAAATTAAAATTTGACTTTTTGAAACAATCAAAATATACAATTTTAGGATTATGATTACTTAATTGTAAACCCAAAGATTAGGACAATTAGGTTAACAGTAAATGATTAACCAACAGCATCAAATCAATAACATAACCAGTAATTAACTTAATTGTTGATGGATTTTTTTTTCTCAATCATCCCCATGAAATTGTATTACAATCAAAATCAATTGTCTCTTAATTGTTGCAATTGTAAACTGATTTTTTGTCACAAATAGTAAACACATTCACTTTACTAAATCAATTTTTTGCTTAATCAAATTAAAGTTTATTTTTGATTGTGATTAAACTTTTTGAACAGTTAATTGTTGATCTGAGCTTCTGGGTTAACAATTTAACAAACATTGAAAGTTTTTTCAAAGTAACCAAATCAAAATTAGTTAATGATTTTCAATAACTGTTTCCGAGTTGAACATTTTTTTCTTGTAATTATTTAATCACTCAAACAATTTGTGGACAATTTAATTAGATAGTATTTCCAATTAAATTGATCTGTACTAAACTGGACGGAAAATCAGGTATATAAATTGTCGCGAATTGATTAAAATTATCAGTAGTCAGTTGATCAACAATCAACTAACAACAACATCCGATTTATTAGTTAAACATCAACAACAATAATCTAATCCAATAGTAAACTGAATTGTACAATTGAACAATCAGTTAAATCAATCAACGAAAATGAAGTTTATTAGTTTATTAACTGTTTTAATTGTTGTTATCCAGGTAACAATCAGTTCGGGTAATCCATTGACCGATTTGGTTAATGCAATTGTCCCGAGTACTAAATCAGCTGTTGAAAAGCAAGCAGAGGAATCGATTGGTAAAGTAGCAATAATCAGACCTCTTGATGGTTGGGGTCATCATGGTCATGACCACGGTTGGGGTCATCATGAGGCTCATCATGGTTGCCACAAGAAAGAGGTAACTCATCATCATCACCATCATCATAAACACGCTCCCGTTGAGGCTCATCATCACCATAAACATGGACACAAACATGGACACGACCATAAACATGGACATGGTCACAAACATGGACACAAACATGACCATAAACATGACCATGGACACAAACATGGTGAGTCCAGTTTACCTGCATTGGTCAACTCACATTGACCATTTAATGTGAAACTTTTCTTAATCTTCTTCAAGTTTTATATTGAGTAACTCATTGAATCCTATTAATCTTGTTTAATAACAATCACAGATCACGGACATAAACACGATGCTTGGCATAAGCATGACCATGGACATAAACACGGTCACAAACACGATCATGGACACAAACATGACCATTGGGAGAAACACGATCACAAACATGTAAGTTAAAGTGACCAATCAATAAATTGGTTCGACTGGTGATCGAAAGTGAATCTGACCGAATTTCTTTGAAACTTTAGGGACACAAACACGGTCATGACCACAAACATGGACACAAACACGATCATTGGCATAAGCAAGACCACAAACACGGACACGACCACAAACATGTAAGTACTTTTTGAGGAATGACTCTTGACCATTGGACTTTAATTGAAAAACTTTTCTATCGCTCACAGGGCCACAAACATGACCACAGCCATAAACATGGACATGATCATAAACACGGTCACAAAAATGACCACTGGCATCATCATGGACACAAACACGAACACGGTTGGCATGATCATGGTCACCATGGACACCACGATGGACACCATGGTTGGGGTCACGATCACGGACACAAAGGTCATGATCACGGACATGGACATGGACATGGACACCACGGTTGGCATGATATCCACAAGAAGGATGGATCCATTTCCATTGCTTCCTCTTCCCCTGTTGCTGCTTCTGGTTCAAGTGACTCAAGTTCCTATGGGTCACCCGGTTACAGTGTAATCGATTCAAAAGGATTTACCTCATCTCTCAAAAATGACGATAAAACAATCAAGATGATTGCTGAATTTGACAAAGAATTTTATTCCAAAGCAAAATGAATCAACTCCAACAATCAACACACTCACTCACTCGATACTCGCACTCGAACCTGTGATAATTAGTCAACTAATCAATCAATCAATCAACCAAAACCGATCAATCCCTGTAATCAAACATCAAATTGATTATTTATTTTCTGTAAATTGTCATATTGTAAATTCAATCTAATTGTATATCTAATATTATAAATACCCAAAGAGAATCACAACTTTCATCAACTAAATTAACTTTTTCTCAATTTACTTCATTCCAATGATAATTTTGATCATCAAAGTTAATCAACTCAATCGATAAACAATCAAGCCCTAAAGGCAATTGACAATCTGAATTTTCATCAAATTTGAAACTTGATATTTTCTGTTCATTGAAAACCTCAGAATCATCATCTGTATCTATGATTGAGTTGCGAAAATATCTTAATTGTTACATAATTGTGATCAAATTAATAATAATAACGATAAGTTTTCAGAGGCTATGATTGTTAATTATGTCCTTCTATTACAATTAAACTTATTGATAACAATTAAGACTCTCCAATTGTTTCCAGTGTCTCACAATTCAGCTAATCATCATTGTTTATAATTATTGTAGCAATTTATTCAATAGTTAATTAATTTTTCTCGGTCAAAATATACCCTGAATATTGTTTAGTATATTATACAATCAGAGTAAATGATTAAGGTTAAAAGTTAATTGTTAATTCAATTTGATTATCTACCCTGATGATGATAAATTGGTAACTCTTATCATCTCATATCATATAACCTTGATTGTTATAAAGTACAATACAATAAAAGTTAATTGTTGACAATCAGCAACTATCAACACAATTAAATTTAATAAAATTGTTGACATGAAATTTTTACTTTGATTACTGTTTTATAATAATTAACACTTAATTGTTACAATACAAATCAATAGATTTATACAAAATATATATATGTTAACTAAATCAATGAATCATCAATAAAATTGTTAATCAAGCAATCAAAAGTTAATCCTGATTAACAGTAATTACTTGATTATATTATGTATATGCCTTTTAATTAATAACCAAAAACAAATAATTAGCAATTAATAACAGCCCAAAGTAATCAACCTAATCAGGAATGAATCATGATAATCAACTAATTGCCAATTGGGTAAATAATAAATGAACACTATTGATAAAGTTTAATTGTGATCAACTGAAACCATTAAAATTATAATCCCTAATCAATGATGATGATTTACGTTAATCACAATTAAATACAGATTCAAAGGATACATAATTAAACTTAATCAATGTTAGATTTTAATTGTCAACAATTAAAAAGTTTTACATTAGATTGAAATTTGAAACAAAAAGCCCGTTAACCTTTTTGATCAAGTTAATCAATCAATTGTTATGGTTTTTTAATCAAAGACAAATTGTCATCAACAATTAACTGATTGCTGGAAATAAATACAAATTTCTTAATTGTAATCAGAGGAAAAATTAATAACCATCAATGGGTTTGTAAAAATTTTTATTTTCCGCGTGATCAGTGACAATTTAAGTTAACAATTTGCTCAGCAATCAACAAATATAATCACTAGTTACTAAATCAACAAATAGTAATCAATGTTATCCATGTGAGTCTAATCATGTGGAAGTTGATTAATCAATTGTCAATTGATTGATATCGTAATGATTGAGAATCACAACTGAATCAGATTAACTAATATTTTTCATATTTACCTTCAAATTTATTAATCATATTAACCTTAATTATCCCCAATGTAAAAGCTAAACACACACACACAATCAACAGTTGATTTACAATGTTTATTATGAGGTAACAATTTAATTTGATTGTGTGTTGGGTGATTGATACACTCTCACGTTGGACAATTTAATTGTAACGATTGATTTTTGTCATTAGAATATAAAATTTTTTTTCTTCACTTCGAAAACTTTTTTTTATTATTATTCTTACGATTAGAACTTTTTTAATCACCACCCCCTTTAATTGTTGTACCTTTAATTGTGTGTTACCGTTTGATTAATTAACTTAACGATAGTCTAACTGTTAATCAACAACAATCAACTAATCATAGTGTTGTGAAATTGAAATTTGAGTGTGTTAATCTCGTTCTGATTCATTTCTTAATCAACCACAATTAACCAAATTTTCATAATCAAAACTGATTATTTCTTAATTTTATTGTTAATTGTTTACAATTAAAAAAAAAAGTTACCGGATTAAAGTTCAACTTATTATTATGATTACAATTACGTTTACTATTCATTAAATTGGTTTTAATAATAATCTTAATCAATCAATATGATAATTAATTAACAGTTAACTACGTCGTTGTTTATTAAATTGTTGACTTAAATCATTGTAATGTAATTTGATTTAGTTAAATTAAATTGTTATTTCAATTTGAAAAGCTGATTAACTAACAAAGTTTATTCATCTCATTGGTAAAAGTTTGTTGATTTCAAGTTGATTAACTTAATCATGATTAAAAAATTACATTTATTAATCAATGTCATCTTTTCATTCATTGTGACAATGATAATGACAATTAATTACAATCAATTAGCCAGACGTTAATTATGATTGAATCAATAAACAATTGATAACAATTAAACAATTAAGGGTCACCAACATCATCATCAGCTAAATAATTAACAATTTGATCATTGTATTTGATTAATTAACATTTCCTTTTATTATTTTAATCATGTTAATTATTTAGATTGTTTGATTAGACAATTAAAAGTAATAAAAAAAAATTAACTGTAAATTAATTATTAATTGCTTGGTATCTGATTAAATATTATTTAATGAATTGATTCAATCAATTACATTGAACTTTACTGATCAGATCTTGAGATTGTCATTTAATTAACCTGATCAATTGATCAACAATTTAATCACATATACTGATTAGTTAATTGATTTTGTGTATATCTTTCATTTGATTATATTAATTACCCTTTTCTAAACAATTCAAAACATAAAGATACAATTTAACTAATTAAGTTGATGATTAAAATTACATAAGAGTAACTTTTTTTTCTGATCAAATTGAAATTATCAATCAATCGCTAATTGTTGAGATTTAATTGTCAATCAATGTTTATTTTCCCTCAGTAACAATTAGATTTAGGAAAGGTGAAAAAAGATTGATTCAAACGCGTGGACAATTAGCTAATTGTAACCGTTGATTAACTAAAAATTGAGTAACAGCAGCATAGAAAAAGTAAATTAATACTATTTGAGGAAATAAATTGTAACAATTAACTAATAGCAATTTATTTATAAACATACATAAAAACCACAAAGAGAGACAATAATTATTATTTAACCAATGATTCCAAGTGCAATTTAGTTTAAATTGTTAACAATTAGATTGTTTCTCAATGAAAACAAGAGGTTAAGGTTTAATTGCAATAAGAAAATTAATTAGACTCAAAATGAACCCGCTAATAATGCTAATAATAATCAGCTAAATACAAGAACAATTAAAATGAAACTAAATTAAATTAAAGTACAAAATTGGGAAACAAAAAGTAAATCAATTAATTGTAAAGTTTTGTTTAAAACGGAGAGAAACAAAATTGAATAGGAAAAAGTGTTAACAATAAAAATCGCAATGAAATGTAACTTAATCATCGCCCAATGAATACAATTAAATGATGAGATGATTAAAAAGGTAATTAGTTAATTGTTGTGGAAGAAAAATGAGAGACTGTGATTGATTGAATAATAGAAAAGAGTAAAATAAAAAAGAGAGCATAGAAATGATTCTGATTCTGATTCTGATTCAGATTCTGACGACGATAATGATGATGAGTTGATGATATTCAAGTCGAAAAGAAAGAGGAAAAGAAAGAGAGGAAGATGAGAAGGGGGAAGAAGGGAAGAGAGAAAAGGGAAAGAAGATAAAACTTTTTCAGGGTAACCCAAAAATACAGTCGTGCAAAAATAAGTTAACATCCTCGGTGGGTAAACGTTGAAACAGTTCAACTCCATTTAGTGTGACGAGTGAACTGAACTGTACCTTGAAAAAAAGTGTTCATTACGTTGAAACACAAAGCCAATCGAGACTGAATTGATCATCTTGCTGATTGTTAATCATGATGATGATGATGATGATGAGGATGGTGATGATGATAATGACAATAATAGCATCATAATAATACAGTTTAAATACAAACAAAACGGATAAACCTTCAAACGTACAACCTGTTGATGTTGTAATGTAATAGTTAGGATAACAAAAAAAAACATTTGCTAAATTGTTGATATATTTTTGTGTACAGGTAGCAGATTAATGTGTTAATCATAATCAAATCATGATGAATTAAAATACAGGTAACAAAAGTTTAATTGTAATAACAAAAAAAGCATCACAATTTATTGTTGTTTTTTGATTGAGTCTCGTTTTTTATCATCATTGTTGTTACAAAACTTTTGTTGCTCAGGTAGTTCAGTGTTACAATGATGATGATTGTGAACTTGAACTGATTTAGTTGATTACCAATGTTGGTTGCCTTTAATTGCTGAAACTAAATCAACTTTCACCTTAATCAAAAGTTTAAATTAACGTTTTTTTTATATGCCAAGGTTGTTATTGGTGTTGTTGATGATGATGCTGGTTTATGAGAATGCTACTTTTGTAAAGATGATGATCATCATCATGTTGCTATGTGATTTTTTTTACCTGAACCTGGGGATATGCTTGTGGTCATCATCATCATCATCACTGGTCAAAGGGTAAAGAGTTGCAACAATGAGCTTAGGTTGAGCCTTGAAGGAAATGTAATTGTTTAGCTTTTTAGTCTCGGTTGTTTTGCTTTTGCCGAGGAAAAAGTTTTTTTTTGTTTCGTTTTGCGTAAAAAAACAACAACGAACACGAATAAGTGACCTGGACTTATATTAATAATATACACTAGATGATGGTGAAGATGATGATGGCCTTTCACCTCTGGTAACTGGAAAACAAGCCCAGAAACTTAAAGAGAGGGTTAAAAGGTCAACTGAACCCGAAGTAACTAATGTAATGTTTCATAGGAAGTTGTTACTTCTCAATCTCTTTACTTATATTTTTCCTCTTTCTCTCTCTCTCTCTTTCTCTTCCTTTTCATCATCATTATCATCCTCTCTCTCTCTCTTTCCCGAAGACAGACAGACAGAGAGAGAGAGAGAGAGAGAGAGAGAGAGAGAGGAGAGAGGGAGACTTGTTTTCTTCCATAGGGAAAGCAAGAGATAATATAACAGAAAATAAAGTCGCATGATGTTAAACAGTAAATGATGATTGGTGTTGAGAGAAAGATAATTGTTGTAGGAAAAGTGAACAATTTATTAATGGTAGTTGTTAAATAATGAAATAAAATAAATAATGAATCAAATTTAACAAAAAGAGAGAAAGATAATCTTGATTGTAATGACGATGTGAGAATGATGAAAATGATGAGATGATGATGATGGGATAATGTAAAAAAAGAAAGATAAAAGAGAGAGAGAGTCAAAGGAAAGAGAGAGGATATTGTCAAAAAATATATATTATCAATTGTGGAGGTTGATGATTGTTGATGATTTGTTGATTTGTTGGTGAGTCGATTGAATCATTGAAAAGAAATTAACTTAACACAAAATTAAAGCGTTGAAAATATGTTGTTTGGATTCCTCAGAATTGTGGATAAAATGACACCGAGGTCCGTATGGACAAAATCCCGTCGTGTGGAAAGTTCGGCATAATTCCGTCTTATACTTGGGGTGTCTTTGTAATGTTCGAAGTTCTTTATCCCCGTGGGCAAATTGACACTTGTCACCATACTTGCAGACACCATTTTCCTCGTAGGGTCGACATAATTCCGTCTTGTATCTTGAGGAATTGGCTGAATTTCGTCCATTAGATGAGGCACATGAACTCATGATCGGTGATGATGGAAGACCAGAGAAACTATTAGAATGCATATCAAAGTTAAATTATCACAACAATATTTTTGTTTCTCTCTCACTCACTCACTCACTCTCTCTCTATGATCCTTCAATGAATAGATAATGATGATGATTATGATGATAATTTAGGTTAATAAATTGTTAGAAAAAACAAAATAATCACAAAAGTAGCAAAATAAATATTTAAATTAGGTTTTCGTAGTATTTATATTAAAAAAATTATTTCCACAGTTTTGATTGATTGGTTTTGGTTCGTTGTCTCGTTGTTGCTGTTGGTGTTGTTGATTTTGGTGATGATGATGATGATGATGGTGTTGTTGTTGTTTTGTTACAGTGTGTTGTTGATATGATGATGAAGATGATGAAAATAATATTAAAAGTTAAATAAAATTACAGTTAGAAACCAAAACAATCAACGAACAGAAAAAAATAAAATTGTGTTACTCGATTTACTCCACATACGAAAATGAAGTCGATTCTTGATGAGTGAAAAAATAAGATAGAGAAAAAAATCTCCCTTGAAAAAGTGAGTCGAGTGAGTTTATAGCTCCTCCTTTACTCCATCCTACTCTCTCTCTTTCTTTCTCTCTCTCTCTCTCTCTCCTTATCTTCATATACAGAGTGCCTGATAAAATGATGATGAACTTCAATGAGCCTACGCTTGAATTTGGGTCTTGCTACTCACTTGATACTCACTCTGTAATTTGGCAATTTTTTGTTTGTTTGCAGATTAATTTGTATTAAATTATTAACCACAATTAGAATCCCTTAATTGTTTAATTGTTTGATTGTATTTTATTTGTTCGCAGTGATAATTGTTGAAGCGAAAAACAAAACAATTCCAACACTTGAGATTCATCAATGGGACAAAGTTGCTCTTCTTGTATTCACTTTTTAATCGGTGGACGTAAGTTAATCATCTAAGGTTAATTGTGATTAACCCTTTATCTTTGATTATCTAATTGTTGTCAATTTAATTTCCTCCAATTTTAATTTCTTTGAGTTTGTGATTTGTTTTCTTATTATTATTATTATTATTATTCCGTTCGAATGGAAAACTTATTTCCATTATTAGGACATTTTCGTTCCGGTTCATCTTCTTATCGTTCATCATCATCACCATCTTCTCGATTGAAAACATTGGATCCTTATTCATTGATTGTTCGAAGTGTCGATCTTTTAATTGAAAGGAATACAATTAAACATCGAACTAACTTTTACGAAACAATTAAACATCCATTCAATGGTAATCTAGTTATTCGTCGAGGATCATCATTCCAGATTAGGATTATCTTTGCCCGGGAATTAACATCTTCATCTGATGTTGTTAACCTCATATTCAAAGTTGCAGGTAAGTTAATCTATTAACGGTAATTGATTGATTGATTTTTGCTTCTAATCAATGGAAAATGAGATTGACAATTAGAACTAGTTTACTTATCCGATAAAAGATGGAGCCACCTGTCTAATTGTTTCTCTCAAAAGTTAATCATAATTTAAATTGTTTCCAATTGCTAATTTAGTTAACCTACACTTTTTTGTTTCTTCACCATAATAATCAAGGTTTTTTGGTGATTAATTTTGTTTTTCTTTCCTACTTACCTAATTTGGTTTGTCTTACAACAATTAACAATAATCATCATCATCATAATCATAATGATGATAATCACAAGGTTAACAATTAATTCACAATTAGATGATGATTAAAATTATACTAAAAGGATTGAAAAATCTGTTACATGATATACATAAAGTTAATCATGATTACGATGATGGAAATACAGTTAATCAAATGAAAATATGATCTAAATTAAATAATTTCAAGGTTGGTAAATTGTTAATTGATAAATGAAAATATAATTATAAACACTTTTCCCAAATGGCCAGAAAAAATTAACTTATAACAATCAAGAATCACGTTAAATTAATTGTAAACAATAAACAAATAAACAATAACAATCAACAGATTTATTTGTTTACAATCAAGGTTAACAATTTGATTTTCAATACACCTTTTCATTTATATTTAATCATGATTAACAATCAATTTCTTTGTTATTTAACTAATATAATAATAATAAGACAGATTGTTGTTAAATAAAAGATTAATTAATAATTGATAATTACAATTAAATAAATAACAGTTTATCATAATCACGATTAAAACAAATGATGACAACAATTAAATTCAGTTAGTTAGTTAACAAATGAATGATTAGTAAATTATTATAATCACTTTCAACCCAAACAATTTAATGATTAAATCCTTATATTGATAATCAAGGTGATCAATGATCAATGATATTAATTATTACCTAATTAATTAGTCAAACAATTAACTGGTCAATAGGTTTTACCAATTACAAGGTTACAATTAAATTAGAGTAAAAATAAAATTGATTGTCATTTAAATCAAATCAATTGACAGATTGTTTAAAATTCAAAGTAATTAAATTGATTAATCAATATCTTCACCCTGATCACGATTAACTATCATACGATTGTAATTAGTTAATACAAGAATCTTAACAACGACAATTAACAATCAACTTATTCAATGTATCAACCGTAACAATAAGTTAATCACAAACTAATCATCTGATTATCAGAGCATCAATAAGATAATGATCATGATTAACAATTGATTGTTATTACTGAAATTTCATCTAAATCATTTAGTTGTAAATATAACATTTTTTTAAATTACATAATCAATAATTCAACTCATCTTAACAACACAATTAACTATTGATAGTTAATTATGAGGATCACATAATATTACAATTTATTTATAATAATAAATGAACCGAGAAAAAATAACAAACATTTAAACAATTAAGAAAGTTTTTTAAATTCTATGGTTAATTAAGAGCACAATTAACAGCAATTTTCTTTTAATCAGAATTGATGAGAATGGAAATAACAATTAAAACAATAGTGAACAATTTGAATTTCTGATTGTTTGAAATCAACATTTGAGATTATGACCAATGTTAATCAGTCAATTGCTAAAAATGGACCAAACAATTAAGAATGAACCTCAAACTGGTTAACTTGTTTTTCGTTAATCAGTTAAAGTTACAATTTATGATTGGTAACCGGTTGGATATTATTACGATTGTTATTAATGGTCAACATTAGTGTTAATATTTGACGAAAGAGATTCAATCTAAAATCAGGCCATTAAATTGTTTGATTTAGTTACAATTAAAGATGTGATTTACAAAAGCATGAGAAAGTTAACCGTAACTATTAAAGGTTGTGATGAGTGTTGTTGTTATTGTTACAATCAATTGGAAAAGTTGATTAATCATCTTTGGTTTGTCTTGATTTAGGCGATGATGGTGATGATTTTGTTGATTGTGATGATTTAGTTGCGTAAAAAAAGTAACCACCATCAAATGAGTAACTAATTGCAAGTATAAAATGAATGGAGGCAAAGAAAACACGTAACCCAAGTGGACAATCACAATTTGGAATGGTCAGTGAATAAATTGAGTGAATTGTGATAATTAGATATTGAACAATTTTCAAATAATGAATTAATTGTTCCCAATTTTGGATTGGTTTAATTGATGCAGAGGCACAAGCTCGAGTTAATAATCCATATTTGATTGAATTAATTAAACAATCAAATGCAATTGGAAAATAAACAATTCCACCAGGATAGTATTTAATTGCTGAATAGATGACAACTGGATTAAAAATTGTTTCCATCATTAGACCAAAAGTAATCTGATTAACTGCTTTTGTCCAAAGGAGGATTAGAATGTCAAATGTGTTGATTAACTTGATCAACAGGTACAAGAAACTGGCATAGATGAACATGGTACCTCTAAGGTCAGAATCAAAGTAATCGTTGAAATTACACCGAACCGTGTTGACCAGCGATTGGGCCAATGCCAGAACAACCGGAAATGCCACACCATGAATACCGAAAAAGAAACCGTAGTAAATTATTTGGAAAGGTTTCATGAAGTAACCCGATTTCTTGGATTCCATTGAATTTGAGACTCGTATTGATGTTAACAAAAAGGTCACCATAAAGGTCACTATTAACCATGGACCTCGGCTGACAATTGGTAATTCAGAGACACGATTGTCCGTTAAATCATTCCACATATCATTTAAATAGTAATTCCAGTGGATTGGTGATGATTGATTAACTTTAAAGGCCATCGTGATGATTGGAAAACCACAAAATTAAAGTTTAAACTTTTGGAAGGGAAAAAAATACACAACAATTAATTAAATTGTTATTGTCAAATACTCAACCTTATTTAGATTATATGATTCATCTAATTTTGTTTACATCTTTAGATGTGTCAGTTCAAGAGTGAATAAGATGATGAAAGAAACAAGAATCATCTTTTTTTTTTCTTACTCTAACTTGTTCAGTTTTCGTCATCATCAGCACGCGTTTATCATCATCATCATCATCATTATCTTCCTCATAATCTTATTCGCCCTCTTTCCCTCTCTCATCCTCAATTTCGTCATCGTCTTTCTCCTCCTTGATATTGCTCATTTACTTGATTGTTTATCAGGTTGTGAAATCTTCTTGTCATCTTATCCTCATGTCCATCTTAAGGTCACTTTCGTGTATCTCAGTCTCTTCCTATCGTTCAACGATAACGCTGGGTAACTGGTAATGTTGACTAGAGTTTTAATTAATTCATTGAGTTGACTTCGAGTATAATTAATGAATCCTTTAGTATCTTAGCTATTGGAAAGTAAACTCAGCGAGAGTTATTGTAATTAAGCTGATTGTGATGTAACACAAACTTAATCCAAGTTGATATGCTCCAATTTTCTTGATTGTTTGACTGCAAAATTTTTCAGTAATTTCCATCAAAAATTAAGGTAGATCGATTATTCCTTATGATTGGAAATCAATGTTGTCCATTACAATCAATCGTTCATTAGGCAAATTGAATCTAATTTAATTGTTGAGTATGTGAAGAAACTTTTCCGTGACACATGAACCACTAATCAGAAGCAGAAAAAAAAGAGACAATAGAAATTAAGAGAACACGTAAATATGATTATTGAATATAATCTGATTGTGGTTAATTAACTGTTGACAAACATCAAGATGATGATGATGATTAACTTTTCGTTTACTGATCAGCTTAGATTATCTTTTTAAATCTGTAAAAACAAAAGAAAAGACAACAATCAGTTGAGAGATGATAAAATCTCCAGATTAAATAATGAATGTAAATATAGTAAGCAAAATGATAATTCGTACACAATTAGTTGATTGTCTTGTGGAACAGGTCAAATGGTCAAATTGAAATAAATGATTCAGAACATGATCATAATCTAATACACGTACAAAAATATTGATACAAAACTAAACGTTTTCTTAATTGATAAAAGTTCCATCATCATGTTAATTACATTGATGATTCCTAAAGTTGTTAATTAAATAAAAATAAAAACATTGTTTATATTTTTGTTTAGATCAAATTTGAACGTCAATTAGAAAAATGAAACATTTATAAAGACATTTGACCTAAATAGATATTAAATATGATCGTCAACAATCAAGAGTAAAAACCTTCAATCTAATTGCTGAATTAAAACATACACTGATTATCATATCTTGTTTTAGGTCTTATTGACCTGGATCAATACCAGATTACCAAGGTTAAGGGTCATTCAGATCTTCAATTGGTCTTCTATCTCCAAGTCCAGTTAATCTTGACCATTGAATGGGAGGTAATGAGTCAGTAGGGATCATCAGGATTTCTGGATAATAGTAATAAATGAATAACAGGATTAACATTGGTGATGAATGAGCTTCAAGTGATTTCTGGCCTAATAGAAAATTAAATCAAATGTAGTTACAATTAGTAATTAATCAAGCAAAGATAATTTAACTTGACCATTCACTGTTTTGTTTTCTCTAAAATTTATACATACATAAAATGATTGAGAGGATAATTAAGATTCACTTTTTGGTTCCATGTTTCAAAAAATCGCCAAGTTAATTGAATTTGTAGTAACCAGAATACGTGAGATTTTCTTGAGAATCAAATGTAAAGACAATGAGAAGATGATTAAATTTAAATAGTGAAATTTGTCTCTTGATTAACAATCAGGTCCAGAAAATTGTGTCTCTACAATCAGATTAATCATCTTTGGGGTTGTTACACTTTTCCTTTCAATTCCCAAGTCTCTGAATTAGTGAATATTGATCATCACCATGACCTTAACTCCAATTGTAACATGTAATCTAATCCTGTGGAAGATAAATTATAATAGTGTATTAATGATAACATATCCTCGTATATTAATTGTGATTGGGTTTTTGTTTCCATGATGAAAATGAGTTGACCTGAAAATTGTTTTCTTTTTTTGTTTCCTTCCAAATTTCAAATAGACTCAAAGAGGCCCAAGTATAGTGAAGGAACAGAAATTACCTTACCTGTTTCAGATGAGAATATGAATGAAATTAATCCTTCATCTAGACCATGGGACGTATCCATTATTTCATGGGAATCAAAATCAGCTACTCTTGAAATTACACCAGCAATTAACACAATTATAGGTGAATGGAGATTAACAATTGAAACAAGAACCACAGTCTCCGGGATTTATCGTTACTCATCTTATCAGGTTCCATCAAGTATTTACATAATATTCAATCCATGGAATAAAAGTAAGTCAATCTATTTCCACAGTTAAATTAGTCACCTAAATTTTGAGAAAATCTAATTAACGGTTAAATTACTAATTAGGTTAACAACAATCATCAGAAAAAACTCAACCAACAAGGCAACAAAAAATCCAAGACAAACCGATGAGATTTTGTTGAGCAAAACATTATCACAAGTTAATCTTGATGATTAGTCACTTTTTACATAATTAACACTTTCAGTTGTAAATTTGGTAAGATGATTAACTAATAATGACTAATTGTTTCCATTAGAATCCTTGTTTTGCTTCAAGAGAATAGAAAATTTTTATTCTTTTCTACCAAATTGTCTCGACGTTGGCGCCTCTTTGTCTTGTTCTTTGTTTTTAATTTTCTATCTTAATCCTGAGTTGATGTTATTTGTTGTTCTATTTGGAATTAATTGTTTTAATCTTCTTCTTTTTAATTATTTAATATTCCATTTTCTTTTTTTGTCTTTATAATCTTCAAAAGATGATCTGACTTACCTTTGGGACGAAAAGGAGAGAGAAGAATATGTTCTCAATGACACTGGAATCATTTGGAAAGGAACCCATTCAAGATTACGACCTAGTCCATGGAGTTATGCTCAGGTTGGTTAATTTTGGTCTAATTAGACAATTAGTGGTTTCGATTAGTGTTTTTAATTGCATTTGATTAGGTACATTTCAATTTGTTGGTCAGTGCTTTTTTCTATGTGACAATTTTATTTTTATTTTGTATTGGCTTTTGTTTCTCTCTTGTTCTGATTTGATTCTTTTTTCTTTCTTCAGTTTGAAGATAAAATTTTGGAATGTTCTGTGTTCATTTTAACTAATTTAGGTAATTTACCGATTGCTGATCGAGCTGATCCAATTAAAATTGTTCGCCATTTAACTCGAGTTATCCACAGTCATAATGTTTTCGATGGATTTGGTGTTCTAGTTGGTCGGTGGGATGGTAAATATAAAGGAGGAACTGATCCTACTAAATGGATCGGTAGTAGGCCAATTCTACAAGAATTTTATTCTAACCGTAAACCTGTTAGATATGCTCAATGTTGGGTATTCGCTGGTGTATTAACTACTGGTGGGTTTTGATTAAATCAATTTTCTTGGTCAATCAAATTACTCTCTTTAGAAATTAATTTCTTTTCCATTGGCTTCATCAATTTTCTTTCCATCACCAATATTACACTTATGTTGTAATAGCTGGAAAGAAGCCTGAAAAGCGTGTTTATTAATCTGGAAATGATTTAAATTCTTCTCTTCTTTTTGTCATATATATTTACGGATCAGTTTGTCGATGTCTTGGAATTCCTGCTCGACCAGTTACAAATTATGATTCAGCTCATGATACTCATGCATCGTTAACGGTTGACGTGATTGTAGACGATAAACTTGGTGTTATCGACGATTTAACCAAAGATTCTGTTTGGAATTTCCATGTTTGGACGGAAATTTGGCTTAAACGACCTGATTTATCAAGAAATGGTACTTACGATGGTTGGCAGGTTATCGATGCCACACCACAAGAACCTTCCGATGGTATCTATCAATGTGGACCTACGAGTGTCATAGCGATTCGTAAGGGTGAGATATTACGTGACTATGATGGTCGTTTTGTATTCGCAGAGGTCAATGCCGATGAAGTTTATTGGCTACGATCAGGAGACTCTGAAACGTACAAATATCTTCAATCAGACACAGCAAAGTGAGTTTCCAACTCAAAAAATTAACTTATTCGACTAATTGTTCATTAATGATTTGACTTCCATTTATTTCACCCTCCTTTATTTTGATTAAATCAATAGGATTGGAAAAAAACTCTCTACTAAACAAATTGGTACTAATTCTCGTATCGATCTGACCGATGATTATAAACATCAAGAGGAAACTCCCGAAGAAAGGGAGATAATGTTAAAAGCTCTTCACCAAAGTGATCATGTTTTCACCCGATATTATCTGAATGCTAAATTCAATGATATTAGTTTCGAATTGAAGCTAATCGATGATGTTTTAATCGGTCAATCATTTAAGGTAGTTAATCTTTACTATTATCTATGTGAATGGATGCAAATTATTAACTTAATTTCTCAATTTAGGTTCGTTTAATTGCTGAAAATAAAAGTGGACTAGTTTACACAGTTGAAACTCTAACTAGACTTGATACTGTTTTCGGTGATGGTAAACGTAATAAAGAGGTTAAAAGGGATCTCTCAAAGACAAAGATTCCGCCACTTTCAGGTTAATTATACTTGGTCACTTAATTAGACAATTTAATCTTGTAATTACTGATTTTTGTATCGTTTTGTTCATACAGAAGTGGAAATATCAATACCAATTGATTATGATGATTATGAGAATCATTTGATCGATCAAAATACTTTCTCAGTTGTTATGATCGCCAAAGTACTGGAAAACGACTTTCACTATGCTGGAATTGATTCTTTTCGTCTTCGTTTACCCGATATCACGATAGAGGTGAAATTCCCGTTAATTTTATCTCAATTGTTTAGTACCATGAAGAGACTAATTTTTGATTTGTTTTTTTCTGCTCTTAGGTTGAAGGCGATGTTTTTGAAAGGAAACCATTTAATTGTCATGCTTATTTCAAGAATCCATTGCCAAAGAAATTAACCAAAGGTGTTTTCATGATAGAAGGACCTGGATTAGTGAAATCAAATCAACTACTAAAATTGCCCTTGAAAAAGTAATCAACCTTGGACCATTTAATTACATTCTTCTTTTGATTTGATTGATTTTAATTAGCTATTTTCACTCTCTTATTACAGACCAGTTAAAGTTGGTGATTGGGCTCGAGTTACTTTCACGTTAACAATGACAACCATTGGAGAGAAAACTTTAATTGTTAAATTTTATTCAAAAGAATTGAATGACGTTGATGGTTCTCGAATAGTTCGAGTGTCCAGAGATCCAACATTATTCAATTTAACTGAACTGGACAATTCATTCCGTCGCCAATAATTTATTATCATTTGTGTAAAAAAAAGGATTATCATTAACTTAACAATACTAATATCTTCAGATCTGAATTAAGTTTAGGAACAAAACTAATCAATTTAATATTTATTACATTCTAACTGTGATATCTAACAATTTTATCTCAATTTATGCCTCATCCCTTTTCCATGTAAAATGTTAATTTTGAATCAATTGTATCAATCGATTCGATTTTAAAACAGAATATGATGAAATTGGAAAATAATGTTATCCTGATTTAATATGGAAAATTATTTATTCTAAAAAGTTACATGTTGACTTTTTCTTCAATATTTTCACCTTCAAGCCAAACAAAAAGGAAAAAAGGATTTGGATTAATGGATGAGGATTTAAAAAGCATGCGGATTACATGGGAAAAGAAAAGAGAACCTCTGATGGTTGATTAATTAAAGATTAATTGTTACCTGATGTAAATTTCGTTGATTGAATTTCCAAAAGCAAGACTAGGAAGACAAGGAAATAGTAAAGAGATAAACAGAGAGTGAGAGAGAGAGAGAGTAAAAGAATCCATGATAAATGATTGGATCTGAAAGTTATCCGCTGATTGGAAACTCGATGAGTGATGGATTCTAAGTGTTATCCTGATGATGATTAAAGTGGATCAGCAGAGATCTTGAAATATTAACTGAAATGATGGTGATTGGTTTCCAATGGATTATATCTGATGAATTAAAGATGCGGATCATCATGAGCATCAATTTTTGGCAAATCATTTTGCTCGAGATGATAATAGTTTATGTTATATATACATGATGAACCAACATCCAATGGTATAGGTTGTATTTGAGAAGATGAAGATAAGATAGGAATCACCATGTATCTTTTATCATGTTATGATGAAACAAGATGAGGTGATGATGATGATTTATTAAATTTTCCATTGAATAATAATACATGTAAATCTATCAAGAAATGTGATTTCAAATTTTGTGATGTAATCATTTGATTTTGTAACTTTTTCCTTTAATTCTTGTAGTTAATTTCAACAAGTTTAATGATTAATTTATTGTTTCACTGATTAGGTTAATTATTGTGTAGCATATTGAAGCATTGATGGTGATGATGCTAAATTAGCAGCAACTGCAGCTAAATTAGTTGTTAAATTGTGATGAGGAGTTGAATTGATTCGGGTTAACGCTGAGAAACCTTTATTATACCAATCGTCTGAATTTGAATTTGATCCAGTAATTGTTGTCGTTGATCCAGTTGACATAGTAAATTGTGATTGATTTGGTGACATTTGATAATTGTTGTTATTAGTGTTGTTGTTGTTTGGTGTTGAGTTATTATTATTATTGTTGTTGTTGTTGTTGTTGGTTGAGGCTGAAGATGAGGATGAAGTTGAATCTTTGAAACCATTGCCATTGATGATTAAATTGTTGGTGTTTGGCGAGAGGTTTGAATTTAAATTGTTACCATTAACAGAGGAACCAAGACCGACACTATTCCCACCGATAACACCACCACCCACACCACCCACAACTCCACCAACACCAACTCCAACTCCAACACCAGCACCAGTTAGATATTGATTGTGATTAGCTAAAGGATTGTAATGATTACGAGCAAGTTGATTGTGATAATGATGATTGAGAGCATGATGAGCATGAGGATGAGTGTGATGAGAGAGTTGATGACCAGTGTGATGATTAATTGTCGCTTGATGATAAATGTTCCTCATTAAATTACCATTACAAGAAGGAAGAACACTGGAACTCGAGTTGTTTACCGTTAGCGCTTTTTGTAACTGTTTCTCTTGCTTACGAAATTTGGCTCGACGATTTTGGAACCAAACTTGAATTCGAGCCTCGTTCAGTTTAGTTAATCGGGCCAATTCCTCTCGACAATAAATATCAGGATAATGTGACTTGGAAAACGCCGATTCCAATTCTGTTAATTGTTCTTGAGTGAAAGTTGTTCGATGTCGACGACGAGCTGGTGTTGGGGGACAATTTGGTGTTGTACTTGGTGTTGTTGATGATGAATTGTGATGATTATGGTTGTGATTAAGTGAATGATTAAGGGAATGGTTAATGGAATGATTCAAATTCAAGTGATGACCATGATGATGACCACCATTTCCATTGCCACTTCCAGTGGATGATGATGAGGATGCTGATGATGGAGTGGAGGTTGTTGAGGTTGTTGTCGGTGTAATTGTTGTAGTTAATGATGAAGATGATGTTAAGGGTGATGATAATGATGAAGATGAAGATACAATTAATCCTGGTTCAACTTTTAATTTCTTGAATGCTCCTTCAACAGCTACACCTTTGAAAATGTAAACAATTAACAAAAAATTAAATCATTAATTTCACCCAATTCACAATCAACAATCAACAATCAACAATCAACAATCAATCAACAATCAACAAAACAACTACATCAATGTATGATTATTATATCTAATTGAATGTATATTGGCTACAATAATTTCAAGGTTAATTCAATAAATTGATCAACATTAACAATTAACTGTAACCAATTAAACCTAATGAAGGTTAATAAATTTAATTATCAAATTAACCTTTTAATTGAATTTGTAACACACAAAAGTTGAATAACCTACAAATTGATTTGAAACAAAACAATTAATTCATATTTTTATTAATAGAAATACTATAAATATTAGTTATCGAGAGTAATTGTTAGACTCAAAAATCACAATTAAAATCTATTCAAACTCGATCGCAATTAAAATAATAAAAAAACGCAAATCAATGATAGAATACAATTGATATTCGTGTTTTTAACAAGTGTCTCTGTATAAATATTATTATAATCTATTATCATTAATCACCATTATGATTATCCGATGATTGTAGTAACAACAATCAATTGTGTTGGTGTAAAATTTACTCTCAAATTACAATTAGATGTACATTAAAAGGAGAAAGAGAGAGAGAGTCGATTTGTAGTTCGAACCTCGAATATGTTTATATTAAGTTCTAACAGTGTGGTGATCTTTCAACGGGGACTTTTATCATTGATTATCATCAAAAAAAGGGTCTGATGATAAAAGAAGATAAAAAGCTTTTTCCATCCTCATCTTCATCTTCATTCATCGACAATAAACCCAACCCAATACACGATGTTTTCTGGTTCCTCTATTGAAGCTTAACCATTTCAATGAACAAAATGGTAAGTAAAAAAAAGAGAGGAACAGATGATGACAAGAGATGATAAAGAAGATGATGAAGATGAGAAGGTGATGGTTGTGGAGGAGGAGAAGAAGAAGAAGATGATGATGATGAAGTGGGAGGATGGAGAAAAGATGAAGAAAAGGTGAAAAGAGAGAAAATTTCTCTTTCCATAGACTTTACAATCTTTTCCTTTTTCTTCATGACTTGTTACTATTTCTAATACTTTAATGTTCAATCAGCCAGAATCTCATCATCATCATGCTTATCATCCTCATCATCATGTGTACATAATTTTAAAGAAGTAAAAATTATGCAAAGTAAAAGTGATTTAAAAGCCTACAGATGATGAGGAAGATGAGGAAACAAAATGGTAACATGAGATGAAGATGATGATAAGCCTTTTGTTAATCTTTCTAATCCCTGATAACAGATTAACAGGTAAAAAGGATTGACAGTCTTTACTATTTATTATTTGATCCTCTCAGGTAACCAAAGGCTTTTCATTTGATTATCATCAGTTAATTGTTACTTTATTATGGTTATTATTATCTATTGATATTTAAACTGTTTGTAACACGTGCTGGACGCACGTTCCTGCGCGTGCTGAGGTTAGTAGATGTGTATGTCAATGGGTCACAAAGGTGAAAGTAATCAAAGGTAATAAAAGGTTAACCAGATGCCTATGAGATTATCAATTGTCTGTATCATGATTAAAGTTGATTGTTACAACAATTAAATAGTGAAAGTTTTGTTGCCATTTTGAGGTTTAAATTGTTGTTTGTTGATGACAATTCAAATTGTTTACTTGTTGTTGTATTTAAATTTAACAATCAACGTCTGTATATATGTTTGTGTGTGTGTCTATCAATACAATTTAATTGCTCACTCCCAGTTAATATAATATCTTAATCCAGTTTCAAGCCTCTGATTATAACAATACACAAGCTAAATACAGTTAATTGTTATAACTTTCAATGTTCACTTATTGAAGATTCAATCATCATCCACCTTGATTACAATTGAATTAAAGTTTACTATTATTGATTGTTGATCAATCGTTTTTAAGTGGATCCACTTTTGTCGTTGACATTTCTTCATCTCCAAGTTGATTTAATAAACAAGATGATGATGATGATGAGAAACTTTTAATTGATATTTGATAAGATTAATCTGATTGATGAATTGAAATTTTCACCAAGTTCATGATTCTAAATGATTCTGGTCACAGGGTATTGTTCATACTCAATGATAATCTTGAAAGGAAACTTGGACACCCTATAGAGTGAATATACAGTGTAAGGATGTATATTAACAAAGATTTTATCATCATCATCTTTTTCATCCTCATCACTTTAATATCTTGACACAATCATTATGAATACATTAACTTATCAAATTATGAAAAGATGAGTTTTGAATATTTGATGACAATCAACAATCAAAACCTAATTGTTACCAAATATTAATTGTTAAAACCAGAAAATGAATAATTGATTAATATATAGTAAAAAAAGATGAACCTGGAACCGGAAATGATGCTAAATATTATCACAACAATTAATTGTGCTATTAAACATATGGTCTCACATTTAAATTTAAATTGTTGTCGATTAACAATCAACTGAGTATTTGGATTGAGTTAATTTTCTTAGTTGATTCCTTAGTGGTGATTGTGAGAAAAAACGTTTTAATTGTCAGATTGAATTAGAACTTTTCGAATTTTTTTTTCGAGTTCTAAAAAATCGTTCTCTCCTTTGAAAGAGAGAATTCAGAGTTTTCTCTTTTCACTTTTCTTTCACCCTGAGGGCATTTTCGAATCTTAAAAAATTGTTATTATTACCGTTAAACCCTCAGGGTATCAAATCATAATCACAATACTAACGTTGATCAAATAGATAATGTATTTAATCAATTGTTAACTGTCATAAGTAAATTGTTGTTTACACCACCAACGTGTCAGTTAATTGCAATTAATGATTAAAACAATGTAACTTTTGCAATTATTCATAAGTAACAATAAGTTGATTGTGAATTTAATCAATGTTTAATGATAGTTTTTAGATTAGTTGTATTAAGTATTATTATCAACTCATCTCCAAGTGATTTAATTGTGATTAAACTTATCAATTTGATTATAATCAATTTCTAACACATATTATGTGAATATATCTAGAAAATAAATCATGATAATCATCAATTCAATTCACTACTGTTGATTGTAATCACTGATTATTGATCACTTATTTTACCCTTGAGATTATAATCATTATGTTATCATTTAGTTGATCAGTTTCATGATCAATCTAATCAACACATTTGATCATCAGACATTGAAAAACTTGTCAATTGAAAAATAATAACAATTTTCATTGTTTACATAATCTCAATATTTTCATCATCGTCATCATCATCTTCATCCTCATCTTCATCTGATTATCCTCATCATAACAATTGAATCAAATTGACACAAAATGACAACCACAACAATCATTTCATTTTAATAATAATCATGAAAACTAGAAAATGTAAAAAACTTACCGAAAGTGTGATTAAGATGATGATTTAAATGATGAGCATGATGATTAAGCTCAATCGTTGTTGTAGAATCCATCATTTGAAACAATTTACTTGATTATGATTATGATGATGATCAGATGAGAAGGACAACAATTTAAATTAAATCACAATCAATATAATAATATAGTTAAAATAATAATAAAAATAAAATAATAATCTAAGTAAAAACAAAAAGGTAAAAAATATAATTGAGTTGACAAAACACAAAAAGTTAATGATATTATTAATGATTGTGATTAAGTTGATTAAATTGAATTAAATTGATTAGAGTGAGAGAGAGAGAGATGGAGAGATGGAGAGATGAAGAGAGACACAAACACATAGAGAATCAGTTAGAAAGAGGAAAAGAGACTAAAAGAAAGAGATAAAGATGATAAAGATGATGAAGATGACGAAAATGAAGATGAAAATGAAGATAAAGATGAAGATTGAAAAAAAATTATTTTGATTTTTTGTTTAGTTTTTTATATTATTATTATTATCGTAGGTTAATTGATAACAATTTGATTAATTGTTATGTTAACTTGATTTGGTTTGAGTCCAATTGATGATGATGAGGCTCATTGGTTTCATTACTTTGCTTTCATCATTCACACAAAATAACAACAATAACAAAAGATGATGATGATCAATATGATGATAGAGTTTGTCTATTACCTTATAGGCAAAGAAGATGAGGATGAGAAGGAAGAGAAAATTCATCTTAGAAACTCAACCTACTTTCTCTTTCCATTGGTTCTAATCTTCTCTGTCTTTCCTCTTTCTTACAACAAACCTTTCGATCTCTTTCATCTTCCAGTCTCTTAAGAATGACGATGATGATGAAAATTATCTTCATCATGAAGAGATAAATATGAATTAATTCTTACAACTGGTTACCCTGTAATTCAATGGGAATTTCTATCTCTATCTCTCTCTCTTTTTCTTTTTCTTTCTCTCTTCTATTCTGTTCTCATGGTAAGTTCAGATTCTCGATCGATAACAAAAACCATCATGGAGCAATTTACTATCTACAACTTCATCATTATCATACGTTTATCATCATCATGATGATTATCATGTTTGATGAACATGAATCATGATAAACTTTTAATAACATCCCTTTTGAATCTTCAATTTTCACCTCACATCCATTTCCATTTCCATGACCAGAATAATGTCCAGATAGAAACTTATAGGCCTGGATATCGACAAAAGAACCAGAGATTGAGAGAGAGAGAGAGAGAGAGAGAGAGAGAGAGAGATTTTTCTCGAAAAATTCTGATAATCATAATTTCCAGCACCATAATCATCAGATTAACCATCCAATTCAATTTTCATTTGATTGTAAATATCGCAACTAAATCATGAGGAAAACAACAACAAACAACAAAGTCGACGAAAACTATTAACTTTAACAATTGAATCTCAACCCGGAAATAATATCTCATCCAAAAATCAACATCAATATTAACTGATTAAGTTGAATAACATTGATGACGACTAACAATTAACTAATAATAACAATTTGAGGATAGACGACACTTGAAATGGTTTGAAAAGATTAACAATAAAAAAAGATATTAATTCCTAGAGTAAACCATTGAAAAGTCAAGAATCTTAAACAATTAAATCTTAAGATGATCGTATCATTGATATTCTGTATCATCTTCATCCGCATCCTTAAATCAATCCCCAACCCTCACAATCAATGATGTATCTATAATATCATCCACTATTAACAGCGTGATTATCAAATGCTTTACTATTAACAGAGACGCTAACGATAAGCTTAACAATTGTAATATTATACATTATCAGGATGATTATGATGAAGATGAGGATGATTATCATCAATGGTCAAGTGCTATTCAACATTATCATTATTGTTACATTTTACTTGGGGAGTGAAAAGTGAGTATAAATATAAAACTATCAACTGGGAATTCATTGAATTAATAAGTGCATTGAAAGGAGGGAAAAAGTTTCTAAGCGGATTCAAACTGTGTCTGTCTATGGAGGTGGGTTTTGGGAGGGGGTGATGATGGAGATGATGATGGAGATGATGTTGATGTGGTCTTTCCTATAATTATGATTACAGTTATTTTGTATATGATGATGAACATGATGAATATGTATCATCAAAATAATGAAGATAAAGGAAGAGGAAAATTATTTTCTAGTAACAATGATGATAGTGATGATGATGAGGTGGGAGTGGGGTGGGTTGGAGTGAAAAGGGATCAAGATGAGACCTCCTAGTGTTTTATTTTACTTTTTCTGTCTTCATCTTCTTCCTGGTTTCTTTACATCTCTCTCTCTCTCTCTCTTTTCAGTAGCATCTTCATCATTTTCACCTACTTTGCCCATAGCATTTGAATGAAGGGATGAGGATGAAGATGAAGATGACAAAAAGTGAATATTCTCTGTCTATTTTTCTTTCTCTCTTTTCTGTCATCCTTTCTATTTCTTCATTTTGTCAAAAAAAAAACTTTTTTTTCTTCCCTATTATCAGGTTATCATTCAATCAAATAATAAATCAACCTTTTTATTTAGATCCATCATCTGTTACCATTTGGTTATCATTGATTATTGGTAACAAGTTGTTATTAAAATTATGTAATTTGCTGATTGTTGTGATTTTTTTGTTTCTTAGTGATCATGAAGTTTATTCTGATAATTAACTTAATCGTCAACCTTTATTGCTGAACAATTAACTTAAGGTGCTAATACTTGTATAAGTTAATCATCAGCACGTGAGGGAACGCGTGTTAGGGTAACATGCTTTTCCAATGTAAATACAATGAATACAAGGCAAAAGTTAGTAATCTGGTAATTATTGATTCTGATTCTGATTCTGATTCTGATGTTTCATTGAATTTCTCAAGATGAAGATGATCATGAGGAAGGATGAATGTGGATGTTGATGGTTATTGTCTTTGGGATTAATGTAATAATAAAATGATATCAATAGTGTTGCGATAATCAGTAAAGGTCATCTATTAGTAGTTTTGATTATGGATTGAAAATGAAATAAATTGATTGTTGAAGATGAAGATGATGGAGAGGCTGAGGACAAGGATGAAGATGATGTTCTTCTGGTGTTATTATTGTTATGTGGTAAAATGTGTACATGAATTAACTCAAAGTATTCAGATGCTTCAAGTGTATAGATACTGAACTGGTACATTTTATATCCTCATACTCACTCCTTGATCATCATTATCATCTTGTCTCTGTCTCACTTGATCATCCTCATCTATTCAATTGTCCATTAATGCTACCCCATCTTCCACCTCTCTCCCTCTTCTAGTGTGATCAAATGTCATCATCCTTTTGCTTTATCATCTCAAGAGTTTTCATATTCAAAAGGATTTACTTTGGTACAAGTCCCATTGATGATTATGATAACAAGTTGATTATCAAAGGTTTTATATTTGATTTTATAAGTTGATTAAACAATTGATTAGGACACAGCATCACTTAAATAACAATTGAAACAAGGTAAGAGAGAGAGAGAGAGAGAGAGAGTTGATGAAAGTGGGTGGAGGGGGCATTTTGATACAGAGATGAAAGAAAATTGAAATCATTGATTCTCATCATTATTGTTATTCATTAACCTGTTAATCAATTCACGAGGTAAGATATTTTATCTTGATGATACCAGGGAGAGAGAGAGAGAGAGAGAGAGAGAGAAATGATGATCATGGAGTTAAAGGAAGATGATAAAGATACATCATCATCTTCATTGGAGTGAAAGTTCTGATGATGAAAAAAAGTAAATGGTTGATGATGAAGATGAGAATGAAAATGAAGATCATTGTCATTTTGATTCAGCTCATGATTTTTTCTCTTTCTTTTTTCTTCATCCTCCTTCTCACCATCTACCTAAGTTTTAAACATCACCAGCATCTGATAGAGAAAGAGAGATGAAAGTATGAGGATGGAGAAAGAAAAAGAAAAGAAAACAAGAAAAAAAAGTAAAAGAGGAAAGAAGAGAAAAAAAAAGAAAATACATTTGAATGATAATAGGAACAGGAATCGCTCTCAGAATAAAGACAAAGACGAAGAAGATGAAGATAATAAGAGGAGGAGAATGAAGGAGGAAAATGAGGATAAGGATGAGGACGAAAGAAAAAAATCTAAAAGAGAAAAAAAGAAAGACGGCAAAGTACTAATAGTAAAACATGGAAGTAGCAAGAGGAAGAGAAGATGAAGATGAGGATGGAGATGGAGATGATGTTCTCTGAATGATGCTGCCCAAAGTCCATTAACATTTCTTTAGTAAGTCAATTATATAAAAGATACTCAGTCTCTCTCTTACTCTCTCTCTCTCTATATTATTCAAAGATCGTTCTTGATATATATTAGCTTTTCCCCCTTCGAACTCAAAAGTACATTATCAACATTCCCTATAGATGTTCCTTGGACTCATCATCATGAGATGATGAGTACTACCTAAGTACAGAGGAGAATAAGAGGAAAAAAACCTCTACTTAGAACTTTATCTTTATTTTTCTTTTTCGAACAAAAAAAATCGAAAAGAAAAAATGAAAGAATTCGAAATTCGAAGAAAGAACAAAAAGTTTTTCTTTCTCTAGTTTATTCCTTTGGATTATTTTCTACTATTATTCTTAGGAATAATAAGAGAAATCAGAAAGTTGTGATTGATTGAATTCGATTTTTTCTCCTGAAATTAAAAGTTTGAAAAAAGTTTCGAAAAACAAATGAATCAACCGACTGTTTAATTGTGGAGAAAAATTAACTTATGATGATTGATTGTTTCATCGATTGAGTAAACAATCAAAGTTGATTAGCTTGACATTGGAAAAACGTTAATTAAATTGTCGCAGTAAATTGTAAATCATATGGTTGCGAAAATGGTTTACAATTGATTATCAGCCAATTGGATTAATTTAATTCTCATAATCAACTTGATAAACTGATTTAGTTTTTTTAATTTACTTTATCATCATTTTCTGTATTAACTAAACTTAATTAACTTGAAATGATCAGAAAAACTGAATGAAACAATTAAATGAACAAGAAAAAAATAGTTATCAAGGTGAAAAAAAAGTCTAGACACCAGAATGATATTGTTATTATTTTATGTTTATCATAATTTGTTGATAACAATTTAATCATCATCATATCAAATATGATGATAATCTTAATCCAGAATCAATTTTAATCTCTATCAAATGTGATAAGTTGATGAAAAGATATGAAATCAATGAATGAACAAAATGTATCATTTTTTATGTTGGAGGATAAAAAAAATTCATGATTCCATTGAAATTGAATCTGATTCTGATTCTTCAAGTTTTCTGAATATAAATGTTACTTTTTGTTATAGATAATGAAAAGTTCTGGTTCAAACCTATACGATAATGAAGATGATGAGGATGAGGATGAGAAAGTGGGGTGAGAGATGATGAAATGATGATAATGATGAAGTAGATTAGACATTGAGGAAGATGATGCAGAGGAACCAGAATATATTACTTACAAGGAACCAGAGTTTATCTTCATTTGGTGATGAGGATGATGAACAAGAAGATGAGTAACATCTTCATCTTTATTGATTTTTCTTTCGCCTTCTCTTTCATTGTCATCTTAATGATATCTCAATATTATCCAATGGGAATGCTGGTGGGAGTGAATTTTATCATCTCTTTCTTTTATCTTTCTTTCTTTTCTTTCTTATCTTCTCTGTCTTTTTCTCTTTCCCTTGTCTATGAAGATGATCATCATCTTCGTCTCTTGTAAGTTAACCAATGGTAGGAAAAAGTAGGCTGAGTCTTGAAGAGAAAGAGAAAAAGAAAGAAAGAAAAAGAGAGAGAAACAAGAAAGGAGAATCGAACTTGGAAAAAAAGAAAATTGTTAGAACTCGATTAGAACTTTTATCGTTCTCTCTTTCTTTTCTTTCTTTAACTTTTTGCCTATAAGGTAATAGACAAACTCTATCATCATATTGATCATCATCATCTTTTGTTATTGTTGTTATTTTGTGTGAATGATGAAAGCAAAGTAATGAAACCAATGAGCCTCATCATCATCAATTGGACTCAAACCAAATCAAGTTAACATAACAATTAATCAAATTGTTATCAATTAACCTACGATAATAATAATAATATAAAAAACTAAACAAAAAATCAAAATAATTTTTTTTCAATCTTCATCTTTATCTTCATTTTCATCTTCATTTTCGTCATCTTCATCATCTTTATCATCTTTATCTCTTTCTTTTAGTCTCTTTCCTCTTTCTAACTGATTCTCTATGTGTTTGTGTCTCTCTCCATCTCTCCAACTCTCCAACTCTCTCACTCTAATCAATTTAATTCAATTTAATCAACTTAATCACAATCATTAATAATATCATTAACTTTTTGTGTTTTGTCAACTCAATTATATTTTTTACCTTTTTGTTTTTACTTAGATTATTATTTTATTTTTATTATTATTTTAACTATATTATTATATTGATTGTGATTTAATTTAAATTGTTGTCCTTCTCATCTGATCATCATCATAATCATAATCACAATCAACATAATCATAATCAAGTAAATTGTTTCAAATGATGGATTCTACAACAACGATTGAGCTTAATCATCATGCTCATCATTTAAATCATCATCTTAATCACACTTTTGGTAAGTTTTTTACATTTTCTAGTTTTCATGATTATTATTAAAATGAAATGATTGTTGTGGTTGTCATTTTGTGTCAATTTGATTCAATTGTTATGATGAGGGTAATCAGATGAAGATGAGGATGAGGATGAAGATGATGATGTTGATGATGAAAATATTGAGATTATGTAAACAATGAAAATTGTTATTATTTTTCAATTGACAAGTTTTTCAATGTCTGATGATCAAATGTGTTGATTAGATTGATCATGAAACTGATCAACTAAATGATAACATAATGATTATAATCTCAAGGGTAAAATAAGTGATCAATAATCAGTGATTACAATCAACAGTAGTGAATTGAATTGATGATTATCATGATTTATTTTCTAGATATATTCACATAATATGTGTTAGAAATTGATTATAATCACAATCAAATGACCCAAAGGATATCTGATTAATCCTAATTACAATTCAATTGCCATTGAAAAATGTTACAAATTGTTGATCTCAAGTAGTCAATTTCATAGCAATTCACATTGATACAATTTAAATTGTAAATCACGTTAATTAACCAAACATCTTAATTAAAACTCTGATCCTCAATTTTAATTGTATTCAATCACTTGACTTGAATAAACATTTAAGAGTCTTAATTGTGATTGTGTCAGAACTATTTTGACAATCTAATCCCATCCAGTGTATCAACTCTGCTGATTACACAACAAGTTGAACTGGATTAAGGGATGAAATTAAATCTACTTCAGATTAAACCTTCATCACAATACAATTTACATATTAATCTTCAATAATAGAACCAGAAACATTAATCAGTTGATTGTATTGTTAACAAAAATTTTCCACCTCCCGATTTCTCTGTCAAAATGATAATCGAGAAGCCCCGTTGAAAGATCGAGGCCATTAGAATATGACAAAGAAAAAGTTCGAAGTTCTAATGGACCTAAATTTATGTTCTAATTGTAATTCGAGAATAAATTTTCGACACAAACTTTTACAATTTGATTTTTCTTTCATCTTCTATCACTCAATTGTAATCAATTGATTTCGACACTTGTCCAGGTTATATGATAATCATTCTGATATTAATATAAATATGAATTAATTGTTTTGTTTCAAATCAATTTGTAGGTTATTCAACTTTTATGTGTTACAAATTCAATTAAAAGGTTAATTTGATAATTAAATTTATTAACCTTCATTAGGTTTAATTGGTTGCAGTTAATTGTTAATGTTGATCAATTTATTGAGTTAACCTTGAAATTATTGTAGCCAATATACATTCAATTAGAAAGGATAATTATTCATTGATGTAGTTGTTTTGTTGATTGTTGATTGTGAATTGTGAATTGGGTGAAATTAATGATTTAATTTTTTGTTAATTGTTTACATTTTCAAAGGTGTAGCAGTTGAAGGAGCATTCAAGAAATTAAAAGTTGAACCAGGATTAATTGTATCTTCATCTTCATCATTATCATCACCCTTAACATCATCTTCATCATTAACTACAACAATTACACCGACAACAACCTCAACAACCTCCACTCCATCATCAGCATCCTCATCATCATCCACTGGAAGTGGCAATGGAAATGGTGGTCATCATCATGGTCATCACTTGAATTTGAATCATTCCATTAACCATTCCCTTAATCATTCACTTAATCACAACCATAATCATCACAATTCACAATCAACGTAATCATTACAATCCTTTAGCTAATCACAATCAATATCTAACTGGTGCTTGTTGGAGTTGAGTGAGGTGGAGTTGGTGGAGTTGGAGGTGGGTGGTGTGTGGGTGGTGTTATCGGTGGAATAGTGTCGGTCTTGGTTCCTCTGTTTTAACAATTTAAATTCAAACCTCTCGCCAAACACCAACAATTTAATCATCAATGGCAATGGTTTCAAAGATTCAACTTCATCCTCATCTTCAGCCTCAACCAACAACAACAACAACAATAACAATAATAACTCAACACCAAACAACAACAACACTAATAACAACAATTATCAAATGTCACCAAATCAATCACAATTTACTATGTCAACTGGATCAACGACAACAATTACTGGATCAAATTCAAATTCAGACGATTGGTATAATAAAGGTTTCTCAGCGTTAACCCGAATCAATTCAACTCCTCATCACAATTTAACAACTAATTTAGCTGCAGTTGCTGCTAATTTAGCATCATCACCATCAATGCTTCAATATGCTACACAATAATTAACCAAATAATTAACTATCAATCTCCTGATTTCCTTTCAATTTTCCTTTTGACTATTAGACTTTCGTTTCAATAAAAAAACAAAAACTGTATCATCAAAAAACATAATCAATCCTGTAAATCAATCAATTATCATATAATCATCACCTAACAATCAACATCTTATCTATTTTGTTTCAAGATAAAATAACTTCAAGATCAAATTAAAACAAAACCAAATAACGGCTTTTAATTTACTGTTACTTTTTGTTAATCGTTACCAATAGATGGCGACATAAGGTAAAAATTAATTTTCTAATTTGTTTTCGTTTGAATTTAGTCCTAATAATCAATTAATTTAGTTACGTTTACACTTAGAATATTTTACAATTTATAACAAATAATTTTCATCCCAAATTAATTGGACAAATTTTTTGAAATTTGAAAAACAAAAATTTACTACAAAATGTTGACCCCTCAGGCTATTGGTCAGTATGAGAAGTTAATGAGTTGTGATTATCATGAAACGGAAGTGATTCATTTATCTGGAAATTAATAAATCGACACTAATCAAACTATCCAAGTTTCGTTCTCATTAATTTCAGGAAACCATTGAATTTTCTGGTTAACATTTATGATCGCAATCAAATTTGATTATTAACTTGTTTCTGTAATCAGTTAATCAAGTAACAAAAAAAAACAAGTTTATACAAATTTGTTTATCCTAATTGTGAATATAATTATCTTGAAATGATATCGGTTTAATTGGAGAGAGAGTTGTAACAAGAAGACAATAATAATAAATTGATTGTCGATTTGTTGATTGTTGGTGAAAATTTTATTTACAATTTGTAGAGATTTAATTTTGAATTGATTGTTTGAATTTAGTCCTAATAATCAATAATCAATTAATTTACGTTTACAAGAATATTTTACAATTTATAACAAATAATTTTCATCCCAGGCTATTGGTCAGTATGAGAAGTTAATGAGTTGTGATTATCATGAAACGGAAGTGATTCATTTATCTGGAAATTAATAAATCGACACTAATCAAACTATCCAAGTTTCGTTCTCATTAATTTCAGGAAACCATTGAATTTTCTGGTTAACATTTATGATCGCAATCAAATTTGATTATTAACTTGTTTCTGTAATCAGTTAATCAAGTAACAAAAAAAAACAAGTTTATACAAATTTGTTTATCCTAATTGTGAATATAATTATCTTGAAATGATATCGGTTTAATAGGAAGAGAGAGAGAGAGTTGTAACAAGAAGACAATAATAATAAATTGATTGTCGATTACTGGTTGATTGTTGGTGAAAATTTTATTTACAATTTGCAAAGAGATTTAATTTTGAATTGATTGTTGGTAAATTTAAATGTCTTCTTTTGGTGGATCCTCTTTCTTTTCCTCCTTTGTCATTGGAGCTTTTGTTGTTGAAGCTGTTGAGTGCGGCGCTGGCCAGTAAGGCCAAGCTGGCCAGTGTCCCCATCCCCACCCTGACCAGCCACCGGTGGGCCAACCAGAGTAACCATTTGATGGTGGGTAAGGATAAGCTGGATAGGGTTGAGGACGATCACTTTTTGAATATCCATCTGCAGGATAATGTGGTTGTTGTTGTTGTTGATGTTGATGTTGATTGTCCGAGTAAGCGGTTCTACTTGATGGGCGATGGTCATCGGTTGTTGACCAAGAATCTTCCTTAACTTCATTCCAGCCTGAAGAATCTTGATTTGATTGTTTTCGTCGTTTCTCCGCTAACCATTTATCTATTTGTTCATGTTCAGATTTCTCATCGTTTGTTGTTGATGACCAAGGGTCAGTATCGCCCCAACCTGTTGGCGTTGATTCTGTTTCCGGTTCACTCCAAGGTTCGGGTGTTGGTTCCCACCAATCGTCACTTTTTTCCTTCTCCGCTTCAGCATCAAATGAAATCGCAGGTAATGCAATTTTCAATGGTTTCTTAGATCGACTATGTTTAATTACGGTTGTGATCTTAATTGTTGGTAATTTAATGCTGGGTAGCTTCACATTTATCGAAGGTAATTTAACTCCTACCTTTACATTAAGACCCGAGTCAACATTAAAAGGTAACACTGTAACAATTAAAGCCAAAATTATGGTAATCTAATTGTTTGTTGAATCGGGAAAGCAAAAAATGAAATACAAATAAAATCAGATTGTTATTATTGGTTAATCAACTTTTCGATGGGACTTTTGGTTCCATGAAAGATAGTAAATTATTGATGGTTTACTAATTGTGATTAAGGAAAATAAATTGACTTTACCTTCATTGTTGTGGTTTAGTTTTGATCTTTGCACTGTTGTGATTTATGACTAAATTGTTTGCGATTGATTGAAGTAATTGACCAGTTGATTTGATAACTAAATAGAAATCATGTTGACCATTACTAGAAAACACTGATAATTATGATGAACCACAATTAAGAAGATGTTAACTTTATGAAGAATGTTAATTGTTGCGATGTCAAGTGCAGAAAAAAAGTTATCAGACCAAGTGAATGTTAACAAATGATCAAGATCAAACTATTAAGTGACCGGTCGAATATGAAAGAAAAAAGTTCTAATTCCTGTTTTCTTATCGAGGGGGAGAAAGAAATGACTTTAGGCTTGACCAGTACAAGATCATGAGTGTTTGGTCATTTTGTTGACTTTAAATGTGTAACGGGTGAAGATACAATTGGGAGGCGGAGGAAATAAACGGAAGTCGATCTTGCGATCGAATCATCAATTCGATAGCCAAAGGTCATTTTCTACCTGTTCGTTTCTTTTTAGCCTTCGATTAAATTTCTTCTTCTTTCGTCCTGATTAGTTGATTTCTACAATTTCTTTCTTCAGTCTTAATCAGTAAAAAGATTAACCAACAATTAGTTAATTAGCTTAATCATCATAATGATTAACATTCATTTGGATTTATCATTCAATGTCCCTCTCGATTTATTAAATCACGATTTTCAATAATCTCTCTTCCGTTTAATTGTTTTAATCATCAATTTATTACATTTTTTCCCCAATCAATTACTTGTTAAATAATCAATTAATTGTTCACTTTAATCTTACAATTTGTTATCTTTTCATTTTAATGATTAATTTTAATGTTCATAAGACCAATTAAATTGATGACTTTTTTTTTGGTCTCCAAAGATTTTATCTCATCTTTATTGTGATTGATTGATTGGGAACAACAGTTCAATTGATTAATTCCTGATTTAGTTTATCAAAATTAGACAACAACAGTTTTTACAATACAAAACAGGAAAAAAAATAACAAACGTAATCAAAGTTAATTGTTACAAAAATCAAGAAAAATTGAAAATTGAGACAAGTGTTATTTCATTAATCTATTAATATTTTCATCATTTTCTTCATTCTTTTATGGACCTAAATATGACAAACTTTTTCTTAATTGTTTCCCAATCAAGGAAAATTATCAAACAATCAATTAATACAAAATTAAAGGCAATTAACTGATTCGATTAAATTAATTCCATCAAATCTACCGGTCGATATTTAGTTGGAAATCCAACTAACAGAGGGCGTTCGGTTGTCCATTGTTGGAAAAACGATTTTCAAATTTAACAGTAAACATTTGAATTGTGATTTGTTTAATTAATTGTTGTTTTATTGTTTATTTTGTTCGATTGATTAATTGATTTTATTGGACTTATCAAGATGCAAGGAGATACAACTGATATCTTTAAAGGGTAAACTATATTTTTATTTGAATACAATTGTTATTAAGTGTTTGTTTCTCTGTGTCTTGTTTTTTTTTATCTGTAATTTGAATTTGAATCTTGTGTTTGATGAATTTTTTTTTCTCATTTCTTATTAACTGATATTTTAGGGCTGCCACTGGATTTTTAGCTAATCCTACACCCCAAACAACTGCTGCTGCACCGTCGGCATTCACTATACCGCTTGGTAATATGACGACTCCAAGTACAACAAGTTTCACTTTTCCACAAGCAACTCCATCTTCAGCTGCACCACCAACAACAACAGCCACTTTCTCTCTACCAATTGCCTCATCATCTTTACCTACTGCTTCATCTACATTCACTATTCCTCTTCAAACATCAACCACTGCACCAACTACAACCGTTTCCTCCTTAATACCACAATTAAAACCTACAACGGGTACACAAAAAATGACCTTCGCCAAATTGGAGGACACGATAAACAAATGGTTAGATGAGTTAACTGGGTTGGAGAATGATTTTCACGAGCAAGCGGAAAATATTAACGTTTGGGATTCAATTTTGATCAATAATGCCAACAAATTATCTCAAATTAATGAGAAACTTGATCAACTTAAATCAGAGAATACCAAGATTAACAATCAAATAGATTTTATTCAATCTCAACAAACTGAATTAGAAGAGTTAATTAAACCTTTGGAAGCTGAAAAGTTTAAACTCATGGAAGGTGAAGGAATCTCTGAGAAGGATAGATTTTACAATACAATCGAATCAGTTAACAATGATTTACAAGGAATTGCATTGGATATTCAAGCCGTTATTGAACAATTTAATGCCACCAACACAATTAAAGATGTTAATGATCCTCTTGCCTCCATTGGTAAAATTTTGAACCTTCACATGACTTTACTGAAGCACATAGATGAACAACTTGGTACCATTCAATTTCCTGATTACTCTCGGAAAACTTTAAACAATTAAAACAACCCAAAAGTCAACAGGGATAAGAAAAACAATTAGGGAAACAAAATTAAACGCAAAGCCTTTTTCATCCAGCATTTCATTTGATCAACAGTTATGTAATTACTGGTTTATCAAGAAAAGAAATATAATCCTAATCAAGATTGCTAATTGCTTGGATTTAAAGTTGATTAATATTGTTTGTTCCTCATCAAATTTCACCAATCAATTGCTTTGAGAGGATTAAAATGTTTTCCATTTTAAATCAATTTTTTCTCTCCAATTATAATCAAGTGACTCATCAGAAGTTTTTTTTTCTTTCCAGAATTAGAATAACAATTTAACTCTAATTAGTAATTCAATCGTCATCCATTTAGAATCAAATTTTCACTGTCAAATTGTTTTTCTAGTTAATTATTAGTTAATTGTCTTCATATAAGAACAAAATTTTCTTTCAACTTGAACAATTAGATTCAATTGTTTTCAAGAACAAAATGAAGTTCAAATCGATGTTTTCTTGTAATTTTGTTTTCTTTCCAATTAGTCATTTGATATTCTATCAAAATTTAGTCAACCAATGCTAGAAATTAAATCGCTATTAGTATTTAATTGTTCTCTAATTAGTTTTTAGATTAACCAATTTAGAAAATGAACAAAAAATAAATAGAAACTCGCGGTTGACTTAGTTTCTTTTTTCTCCATCAGGTGGAGCAGTTCTGCGAATTACCGGAATCGGAAGTTACCATTTTTTAGTTTTACTTGTTTTGAGTTTAACTTTTGAAGAAATTAAATTAATTTCTAGTTGATTTGTTTGATTATAATTTGAACTTTGTAAGTTTGTTAAATTATCTGTTCTGTTAGTCACAATGCAAAACGATCAAGGAGAATGTGTTGATCTTTATATTCCAAGAAAATGGTAAGTGTTGATATTTCTTTCTTAGTCTAACATGTTGAGAGTTGGAAATTTTCATTTTTCTATCTGATTGATTAATTGAATTCTTTTTTCTCTATTCTTTCTTGACTATTTTATTGACTTATGGTGTTTTTAGTTCATCATCAAATAGGATTATCCATGCTAAGGATCATGCCTCCATCCAACTTAATATTGCCAAGGTTGATGAAAGTGGTTTAATGATCCCTAATCAAAGCTCCGTTTATGCCATTTGTGGAGATCTTAGAAGAATGGGAGAATCAGATGATTGTCTTTTAAGGTTGGCCAAAAGAGATGGAATAATACCCAAAGCTGTGTAATTTAAAATAATTTTCTTGGTTAAGCTGTATCATTTCGTTACTTTCGTCAAACAATGTCAATTGTTACTGAATCTACAGCCTAAATCAATAAAGAGAATTCTAAAAAAAAGCTGATTCTTAAAAACCGGAATACTATCCAAACTAATTGATCGAAACTTCGAAACGTGTTCAGACTCATCAAATGAAACATTTTCTCGCAATTAGAATAGAAAATAATTTAAAAAATCCAATCCTTTTTCTAATGAGAAAAGCTCGTAACAGAGGGCAGGATAATCCTAACAAGGACCCAAATGGTTAACAGATAGAACAATTTACCTTAATTACTGAGAAAATTATTCCTACAATCAAGAATTTCTCAAGAAAATTAATCTTTAATCAACAAAAAGCGAGTGAAGAAAAACCAAACTAGGATTCAATTGAATTCGGTAAAAATTGTCAACCTTTCAGCGAGTTTTTCTTTCCAATCAAAACTAAATTAACTCTCATCATTCAAATGGAAATTAGTTGATTAACTTGAATTACTCTTTCAGCTATTCAATTAGTTGAAAAGAAGAAAAAATAAACTAATTTCACGAACCAATTAAGATAATTTGGTAAAGGTGAACAATCAAATTCCCCCACAAATACTAAGAGTTTGCGCTTCAATCGATTCCCATCCAATCAGAATGTGAATAGAACAAAAAAAAATGAGTCAACTTGGATTTCGACTCAGTTTCTATGGAGAATTTCAGTTCGATTTTCTGGTTCTAACATTGACTTACCATAGAGAGAGAACCATTTTCAATTCTCTCTCTCTTCTTGTCATCCACCATTTAGAATTTTCTTTTGTTATTGTTATTTTTTATCATCTTTTTCTCTCGAAAAGTGTTTCGCCATTGATTGTGTTTCTTTCGAAAGATGCAGTTAATTAATCTATTGGTTTTTCTTTTAATTTTGGTTAATCTGATTTCGTGCAAACATCGTGTACACAAAGTAAATTGTTCCAATGCTAATCGAAAATGTCCAAATCATAAACACAAAATTTGTGGTTCCGATGGTAAATTATATGATTCTCATTGTCACCTAAGGAAAACCTCTTGCGACAAAGGAATTGCCCTGAGGCCAGTTCATCCCGATCAATGTGATCCAAATGAGGATAATAATAATATTGAGTCAACATCAGTTGATGATTGTGAACCCAAACAATATGATTTAATGAAGCAACAATTATTTCAGAAAGGTAAGTTAATTGCTAATTAAACGTCTTCCATAATCATAGATTGTTATTCATCTGATTGTTGTTTAACTTTCACAATTAGTTGATTTGTTAACATGGGATTAGGATTAGTGTTGACTGATTAATCTTTGTAATTTATTTGCTTATAATATTAACACTTTATCCGGTCAACAAATTGTTTAATGGTTGATTAATCTTGATTATGATCATCATTTAATATAAATTTATTGTGGAGACAAATTAAAGATAAATAAGATTAATACAAGAACAACAAAAAGTAATCTAATTAAGATTAACGGTTACGATATTTATACTCTCATTAATATCCATTAATTAGGTTTAATCCGATGGAAACTGATTAGAGTTGATTAATTTTTCATTTTTCGTAGTTGCTTCGTCTTAATATTTATTGAATACACTTCATTTATGACGATGAAAACTAATCAAGTCAATACAAATGATCAATGAGATGATTTGATTAACATGATGTTACAATTGAATTGAAAATAAATTTTCATTGAACAAATCAAATTGAAATGATTATCAAACATTTTCTAGTTGATCTACCAACCATATGATTGTATTAATCTTGCCAATGAGTATTAACTATCATGAGTATATAATCAAATTAACAGCGAGTCAGTAAAATAAATGCCAACAATCAACTCAACAGTGACAATTTAATCAATAATATTTCCCTGAAAATAATAACCTAACAAATTAAACTAAGACTGAATGGAAATGTAAATATTATCATTGCCTATTGTAGTTTAAATTGTTACCATTAAGGTGAACAATTTAAAAGGAAATGATATCATAATGATAATAATATAATTCTCATCATCATCATCAATTTAATGATAATTTTCCTCTCGAAAAACTTATTATTCAAGTTGATATGTTGTATTAACATTTCGTTTGGCAAAAATATAACATTTATATTGGAAGATATTTTTTTGTTGTAAAATTTTCATCCCTCATCACAAAGCATTGATGTCGATGTTGATGATGATGATGATGATGATCAAGTTTATTAACGAGACAACGTAAATCTTTGGTTTGGAATCATGGTGATTATCATCCGACAGGGATGAAGATGATAAAGGAAAAAAAAATGAAAGAATCAAACTTATTATTAGTATTGATCTTTTACAGTTTTCATCTTTAAGCTTTTTCACAGTTGGATGCTGGTTTCTTGTTGATGATAAATATGATGAGAGAAGGATGAAGATGATGTGAGTTATCATCAGAAAATGATGAGGATGAAGATAAGCTATAAAAGAGAGAGAGAGAGAGAGAGAGAGAAACAAGAAAAGATGAGTTGGAAATTGGGTTTGGAAAAATGTTATTGGAAAAACAATGTAACCAAAGGGAAGAAAAAATTGTAACTTTATGATTCCTATTCCTTGAATTCTTGGTGTTATTTTGTTCTGATTCCAATGACAACCATGTTGATTAGAAAGGAGGAGTAAATATAGATATTGGAAATTTATTTCTTCCACAATTCTCAGTGTAGATACGAAATTAACTATGGAGAAATAGAATGAAAATTGTGTGTCAATTGACTGACAAAAATGCGAATACACATTTTGTGTCAACATTTTCAAACTAGAATTGTGACAAAATCATGTTGAATCATTTTCCATATTGAAGAAGAAAAAAATTGTCGTTGAAACGTGAAAATCTCATGATGAAATCAGAGTCTTTCTCCCATTGCGGTTCCTCAGATTTCTGGTGATTCCACTTGATGATTTTTATTGAAATTCACTTATGTTAACATGACAGATACAATTGATTAGAAAATTTCTTGATTAGAATGACAGTTTATCAATTATTTCCACTATTAGCTATTAGTAGAAATCAATTAGATTTTAACACTCGAACAAACAAAAACCCTTCTGGTCATTTCTTACCTTAAGTAACTATGACCACTCGATTATCAGCTGATGGGAATGAAACTTTTTTCCTCTATTGTGATCACCTAAATGTCGCAACAATCAAATCAATTCTCGACTATTTACCAATCAAATTGAATAGAATTTTCCATTTTTCTTTTCCAAAACCTTTGATCCATCAATGGAAATCCTAATGTATTAATATTAATAAGAATTTAGGTTTATCCTTTTTCTTTGATAGAAAAATTTTCCTTGGAATTGATTCCAATTGATTTACTTTGATTGTTCTTCTCCCTGTCCTCTAAATTGTAACACTTTTCCATTCTAAAAGTGTTAATGGTTTGTTAATCATCTTCCTCTTTTCACTTTCTCAAATCATGATTGGAATTTTAAATTGTTCTTTTAATTCATTTTATCCTTTTTGCTTTTCCATCCAAATTCTGTTAATGATTATGGTGTTTCCATGTTGTTTGTTTTCCCCTTTTTCTTCATCATCGAATTTTTCTCCAACAATTTACTTCTCGTAATCATCAACACAACATTACAATTAAAATCTCTTCCCAGTGGCAGAGTTTATTTGCTATTCTTGTCGAGAACAGAAAAAGAATATCAAAAGAAAAGATAACTTTCACTCCAACCACAAATTCCCATGTTTCCATTCCTATGAGTTTTTAATCGTATCAGTTTCAGTGTTTTTCTTTGATGAATTATACACAAACCATTATCTTCTTGTTAAATTGTGAATCCATTTAATTGTTACTGTTTACAATCAACTCCAAGCAAGAAAGATACAATGATCAACCATTGAGCCAAAACCATTAACACCAAACGAAAAGTTAATCACAATGACAATTAGAATCTAATATTTAGATGGTTGATCAATTATTCATGATAAACATTCACTTAATCATGTAGACAATTAATTACTACAAATTCAACTCAAACTGAAATTAAAATTAATTCTGAACATTAAAATTGAGGAAAAAAAAAACTTTCATTAATATTTTCCTACTTTTAGTTCAGTTTATATTATGATTGTTATTAGACTTTAATATCAATCGATTTTAATTGTTCAACACTAATTATCTATCATCTTAATCATGATGATTCATCTTTAATCAATAAGATACTAATTGAATAGAGATCGAAATCTAATTCTCAATAGTAATAATCATGATAATAGTTATCCAATTATCTTCAGTATAATGATAATAACGATTTCATGAGATTCAGATCTTAATGGGAAATGTTGACATAATTAATTGTTACGATTCTTTGAGACAATTAATTGATGATAATAATTGTTTTCGTCTTGATTATCAAAATTGTTTGATTAGTTTTTTATTATTTTCTCAGATCACAAATTAACACAATTATTGAGATGTAATTGGTTAAATCAACTAATTGTTATTTCCTGATTCCAATGATAGTGATTAAAAAAAAGAGGATCAAAATGATAAAGGTAATTTATAATTGTTGGAAATAACAATTAAACCAACAATTAAATTACATGAGTTTGGATAATAAGCTTATTTTTTATACCGTCGTTGTGATGATTAAGTAAATTAAGTTAATTCTCGGTGGAAATTAATAATAATCATGATTATGATTAAAGGTATAAACATATTATTAGATTGATAATAAGCAAGTCTGATGATTAAATCTAATTCTGAATTGAATTAAGGTTAATCATCAACATTAATCAATACGACAAAACATTTTTGTACTGTTTCCTATTAATGTGATTAATAAATTGTTATCATTAAGGTAATTATTGTAAATATAATTCATCTTAATATGGTAACAAATTAATTAATTGTTGTTGTTGTTGTTGTTGATTTACAATCTAAATTGTTAACGGGAAATGTAAAATAATCAATTATAATCACCTTAGTAATCATATTATCATTGATTACGTTTTGATGATTGTGTTGATTTATTAATCACTTTATATTAATAATCATTTATCATTAATGTTAGATTTTAAAAGTAACTTAATTAATCATATTTGTTGTATT